GTTATATCTAAACGGAAGTGGCATGGCTCCACTGTCCTATAATTATATCTAAACGCAAGTGCCATGGCTTCACTGTCCTAAAGTTATATCTAAACGGAAGTGGCATGGCTCCATTGTCCTAGAGTTATATCTAAACGGAAGTGGCATGGCTCCATTGTCCTAGAGTTATATCTAAACGGAAGTGGCATGGCTCCATTGTCCTATAGTTATATATAAACGGAAGTGTCATGGCTTCACTGTCCTATAATTATATCCAAACGAAAGTGCCATGGCTTCACTGCCCTATAATAATATCTAAACGGAAGTGTCATGCCTGCACTGTCCTTTAGTTGTATCGAAACGAAATTGCCATGGCTTCACTGTCCTATAATTATATCCTAACGAAAGTGCCACGGCTTCACTGCCCTATATGTATAAACAACTCAAACCTGCCACATCCTTCAATGACCATAGCTGTTAAGGATGTATTCTTCTGAGGTTTCAATCACGTTCAAGTCTCGTTTTGATCTGGTGTAATAGGTTTGTGTAATATTTAAAAAATCATGATCAAGTTTATTAGCAAACACGCATCTGAAACATATTTGAAAAAAATAGATGCCCGTTAATTGTATAATCTTTTTTTACAAGAATTCAAAAAATTACCAACTCGGCGGCCATTTTGAAAATGTGTATTAATGTGTATTTCTTGCGCTTCAAAAAAGTCCAAATTTCACCTTTTTTGCCACTAGATTGATCAGGTTCAATTTTGCTGTACAACTTCATAATTTTTAATATGATAAAAATAATATGCAATAAAATGGAAAAGTATACGGTATTGATATTTTTTTACATATTTAGTGTAACTGAAGCACTTTTGATTTTTGACACCGAAAAAGGTAAAAAAAAAATAACACAATTGATAATGGGACAAAAAAAGAAGCACACTGACCCCCCATTTTATTAGAAAGAGATCCCCCTTTCCATTTAATTCATTAAATAAAAAAAAAAGGTTTAATAGCAGACCTTTTTATATCTAGCGTTTAATCTGCAAAAAATGGTAAAAAATTGTATTCATTTCATTAAAAAATATGGGGGAAGGGGTAACTAAAATCGGCTTTCTGAGTTCAAAGAATAATATTAAGAAATTTTACTTCCATAATTTAAAAGAAAATAACATTTTCATCAATTCTACAAACATTCATACATATCTGATAACACACTTGGAAGAAATTGTATGAATTTGTTCTGCAAATGGTCAAAACCCAAAAAATCACCTAAAATCACATGTTGTGTTAAATTGGTATCTTTGACCGATCATAGCACAAAAACGAACACACGGACATATAGGTTTTTTTTGCATTTTCTTCTATGCCATTAAATCCTTTTTCCAAAAATCCATATAAGAAAAAAAGTTTAATACAGAGGTGTACATCCTTAATAGAACGTGAACTAAAAATAGACAAAGCAAACATACGTGTTCAAAAACATGCTTCTCAGAATGATAAAACGGTGGACAGAGTAGACATTACCTGGGTTTTTTTTAATTACATATATTACGAATGTTTCAATGTTATCATTTCATGTCATAACGTTTGGTTTAGAAGGGTATATGCATTTCCAAACCTATCCTTTCTCATTGCAGTACTTTGAGCTTCGATACAACTCGCATGGACTCAGACTGTTTGCATCAATACTTAATTTGCTTTCAATGGTAAGTGGGGATTTTATGGATTATTTTTGTGTGTTCTGTCTGATGACATCACATACATATATTATTACAAAAGAAAATATAGTCTTTTCCCCTGGTATTTTGTTAAAGTAAACTACGTTTTGACTCCACCTAAGTGACGATTTAATCTAATGTAGTTTTTGACTTTTTTTGAACGCAGATGAACTACCTTGGAGGTGTACTATTTGTGCCCGCTGTTACGTTGGAAATAGGTAACTATGATTATATATTTGATAAATCAGTTGTGACCCTGAACGTCTTTAATAAAAAAAATAACAGAGATGAAATAATGTCTAATCAACAAAAGTGTTTCGAGTGTAAAACTCCAAGCTTGGCTAGAACAGGATTTAAACCCTTTGCCTCAGACCTGAGATTGCTATTCTGTCACTATAAACACACGCTTTCCATTAGTAGCGC